AAGCAAAGTGTGGTAAATTCTTTGCTCAACGGAGCTAAGCGTAAATACAGAGGTTGCCCGCCTAAAGAACTGAAGTGGGCGCCTCTAGAATTCGAGTTCAAAGTCAACCCCTTGCGTATTGTGCCACAACGACTACACACTGTTCAGTGCGGCCCCTAGCCAGTTACGAATAAGGAACCGTGTAAAATGAAAAGGACAATCAGTAACGGTTGTGATGTTATTCTCCTTTACACTTCCAGGGCTTGGCATCAAGAGTGACACTCTTTCATTGAGATTGCCGTGCGGCGGCAAAATTCATTGCTTCACTCTCGGTCAATAGTACAATATCGGTTTCCTTTTACAAGACTGTATCTCCAGCTTAATGATGCTATAGCGTGTAGTTTGCTGTTTCCTTATGGCCGCGTGGTACTAATTTATTTACTACCGAAGGATGAAAGGAAGGTGATACTCGCCCGGAGTTCCTATTCACAGTATTTCGACTGTGAGTCTAGCGTTCAGTTGACCAAGCAATCCTGGTCCTCAAAGTCACGAGTCAAATCTTATGATTGAACGAGTTAAACAGGAGTTGGCCTGACCTGTACATCAGGTCATCACCCGTCTGAACGGTAGACGACATGTACCGGTTGCCACACCTTGCCCTGCTTTACCCTCTGCGATACACTCGGATATATGTTTAAGTGTCGATGCACAATTCGAATGCCTTATGCATTTGGTAATGTGATCAAGTGCCAACCGCGACGGCCTGCGTTTCGAACGCAATGAATAGAAACGCAGGCAAGTAGTCCGGCGACAGCATTTGTTACCTGTCAGCCACAGTATCTGAACATCTGAGCTGAATGCCTTGATGCTGCAAGATTGGTCGCTTATTCTCATAGCCCTGCGTTTACTATATACGCGGCATCGTTGCCATGGGCGACCGGCTATTTACAGCGACAAACATCGACCACTGCCATCCGCAACGCGGTTTACACGTTTCACGCGCTTCGACAGAACACCAGAACTCATTACGTATCAGTTGCCTGCTACACTTGCCATATTTTGTCTATGGGTCATTTTTAAGAATAATTTATGGTTTTACTTTGTGCTGAGTTTTGGTCAGCGTTTGGTCAGATGAATCGGACCAGAATGCAGCTGCAAGGGGTACCTCTTAGACAACGCGACCATACTCACCATGGTGATGCATGTGCCCTAAGGATCGGCTTTGAATTCCTGAGGTGCTGAGTTCATTTCCGGAGAACGGCCAATCGGCGTCTTGATCGTGAATCCCCTTTAGCAAGAGTTAAATCTAAGCTCATCATCGCAGCCAGCCGAGAGACGGGCAGTAAGTCGGTGACTGGTGAATAACGGTTACAGCGTTGCAGTATAGTCGTGTCCTTGCTGCTTCCTCATTGCGTGCTTCTGCTAGTCGATGTCAACGGTAGCTTCTTCCACCAATCCGGTGCGCTCGATCGTCAGATACGTACCACAGATTTCACCACGTGAAATGTACCACTTCATTACGGTGGGTCGTGTTGCAATCGGCACATCAAGCTGCTGACAGAGCACGTTACCTTGCGTTGTCACGCACTCGGTTTTGTGCGTTATGTGCAAATCGTCGATGCGGCTTGGCTGTCACTGTTGTGCCGAAGTCCCGGCCTGATCGATGGGTTTTGCGAAGGTGTTTCTATTGCTTTCCAGCACAGCGCGAAGTAGCTAACAACTGCAACACAGAAACGACGCTGATATGCTAGAAACTTGCCATAGGCTGGTTTCCTCGGTTTTCGTTTCAGACGATGACCAGTTGAGTGCAGCTCGAAAGTATGATCGCAATGAAGTTTCTCCATAGTCTGGAACTTCATTTTGGTACTCACTAGTTCGTGACACTGGTTAACAACAGACAGTTGCAGAGTTTCAAAGTTACTTCGCTTATCCTAAAATCTACACGTTTGTTTGCTAACATTCAACCTGTCGACCATTTTTAGAAGGCAGAAAACAAATGGAAGACGCTTCACACTGTTGACAAAAATTTCTGTAATGAAGACCTTATCCCATTTTCACGCTGTTACCTCTTGAACTTATTTCACATTCGGTCATATTTATCGTCAAAAATGTAGAGCACCAATCAGTTCATCGGTCAGTTGTCATTTAGTTTACTTTTATTTAGACTTTCTTTGGAATATAGCCATGGAAAGTCGTCGTCTAGCGCAATTCTGACGTTCGTGTTATGCCAGATTTGTCGAGAACACTTTTGCACCATTCCATTCAGACCCTAGTTGTGATTAGCTGTTAGAATTTGCCAAGAGGAGGTCTGATTGTGCTGAGGAATAAATCAGCGGGACATCTTATTAACGAAGTGAATATACTTCAGTGACAGCGAGAGTACTTTGAGAAAATTTGAGGAACTGAAAGCTACACCTCTAGAGGGCTATGTAAGTAGGATACGGCTCAATGGTAGTGCATGATTACAAGTATGCCTTAGCGAACCATACTTGCGTGAACGTCAAAATAGTATACTTGTCCCAATCAACAGCGAACTGGTAAATCGTCTTTTTCTCAGACTTGCGTCCATGGAAAACTTTCTGAACCAAAGCAGTAAAACTAGGTTGCCAAGAAATATGCATCGACGAGAGGTGGAAAGCAGCCTACCGCACAACATTTTATGTCCAATCCAATGGAACAGTCTGGATTTTACTTGTCCAGAAATCGTGTAAAATGCGGAACCTCATTTGAACCATCCACGAGTTATGCGGTTATCAATCCCATAAATTGGGTCTGAAAAATTAGTAAAATTATATTGTTGCTCAAATCATTAGACAGACAGGCCTTTTTGAAAGAGTGCCTCAAGGTGTCTTGTCAATTCTCACAGCCACTTCAGAATCTGTACACCGGTTATTTTCCCTGGACATTGATGTAGGATGACTAAGGAATCTGCTAATCGACGGCCCAAGCGTCAACCCGAAATACCTTGCCAATTAACGAAGTGAATGTACAAGATCCAGCTATTATGCCTGATTCAGGAGCTTAGAAGAGGTCTCCGGATGCTTCGGACTATTAATAATGACAAGACGTTCTTTTCGACCTTTAAATTCAGAAACCTTTCGACGTATTTATCGCATCGTTTCCGCATCATAAACTGCTATAGTTTATAGTCGATGGCATTGACTGTTCGGTACTGTAAGGCTACAACAGCATTTGCTTACTGTTTTCTATTAGCTACCGCACATATTTCATCAGCTTCGTGAATCTAGCCTCACCGCTGGCCTTGGTAGTAGTTCTTATTGATGGCAATGTCTGAGAGAAGCCAATGGAACCTTTTTGTGTCGGCAACGAAACGGTTTCACCACGGTTCCTTTGTTATCGTAAGACGAAATTCTCGTTGACAACCGCAGGTTTATTCTTTTTCCATTTTGCAGCTGTATCGTTCACCCTGTTGCTTTTCCAACGCTGTCATGAGTAACGTAGTTCTTCAGGGAAGTCGTATCACTGGTTTGGATTTCAGGATCTGATCACCCGTTAGGATACATCTCCCATTTTGCTCCAATAGAAGTTATATGTCATTTACTTCCCGTGTCCGGTACAGATCTGAAGTTATGCGCCATGTTTAAAATTAACTTTCGGTATTGAGTCGTGGTTGAATCGCCAGCGTTTTCCAGGTGTGATCCTGTGGGTGCGGTTCTGCGAGAACTGAAATTTTCAGGTGAAAAGGTGATTTGTTATTCGAAATTTCGTTACCAGTGATCGTCCATCGTCATTGACGACATTTCTGTCTACTTGGCTCAGCAACTTGGACTAGTAGGAACCGTTGCCACATACCTGAGCACTCAGACCACTAATTGTGACTGCATCTCGTAAGGGATAATCGACAGCGGATGACAGTAATTATAAACAAGCATCATGGCAACTTTTCTTGCAGAAACGTTCTACTTTTTTTGACTCATGGCTGAGGCATTGTTTACCTTAAAGTGTACAGATAAAATCTGAACACAAAGCGAAATTCAAGTAGTTCAAAGGTACATGCTTTCATTTCGATCGGTACTTCCAGATGTGATGCTTAAACTAATGAAATGCCTAACGTGTGCTCCAGAAGAACGATGCCATGACTGCACGTCCATGTCAACGGAGCGTCTTAGATTTGGACGATTATTTGCGGGGGTGCCAGTCGTGAGAAAGTCAATCACTGATTCCACAGATCCATTGAGATTCAGTGCTGAACCTACTTTGGTTTTCATATCCTGGAGGTACATGCGCCACCTCGCAGTCCCTCAACACGTTCAATCCTCCGATCATCTGCGGCGTCGTCGACGTCTGATGCGCCCCCGTCCATGTTCTGTTCAGCCCCTATTACGATGAGCTTACTGTAAGTTAAATTTACATGTAACGGCATGGTAGAATAAACTATGAAGAAGGCACCGAGCACGCCATATTATGCGTAGGATTCACATTCTGCAGTATAGGCGCCAATGTTAATATTATACCGTTGTGGAATTTGCTTAAGGACCCACTCGATGGTTCTACTATAGAGTATAGAGGCCAGTACGAGCCGATGTCTTACCATGGAGATGCAGTGAACCGTTTCGAGAACGTCGAGCAGGTCTGAACATCTACGTTGATATTGTTCTATAAGGATTTCAGTGTGATGCAAACTTTCTCAATTAATTCCTCAAGCTAGGATTTAACTTAGCGGTTCCTGTTTAATTCGCCCAGAAACAGACAGTAA